AACAATCATTGTCATTAAGTGCAGTCAAACAGTTAAATAAAATGGGGGGAAATTACCTAAAACATGCAGGGGCGTTAATTGGTTAAGATGCCATCGAGCCCATGGCCTTCAACCCGCCCAAGCCGCCGCCGCGTCCCCTTTTTTCGCGCGACGCCTGAAGGTTGACAAGGCGAGCCATCTAATTATTTGCCAGGCTTTGTGCTAGACATGAGCTGCTGCCGGTAATACTCAGCCCTCATCTTGTCTGAAGACCAGTGTTTGCCTTGGTTGTTTTTCTGAAACTGGTTCCAGCGCGACAGCGGCTTTCCGCCACGACGCTCACTGTCACGTCTCTTCTGGTCGTTCTTGTTCTCTTGGATGAACGCGCTTGTCGCGGACCGCGTTGAAGGCCCAGTGATCTCGCCGCAGCATTGGCACCTGCTGTCCTGGGTGGCAGAGTCTCAGGTTAGCGGGCGGACTTGGGCCAACCTTATTACACCTGCCTAAGCCCACTCGTGACCTTACTTCGTGGCATTTCGTGGCCAAGCAAGTCAATGTCAACCCAAATTGCAACATAGGCGCAAATGCACATAACAGCTGGGACGTTACTCGAAAGACCCTTGAATGACAATTTTCAGGCTCAATGCTTGGCGTACGGCCAGTGTTATGTTGACCACAGGAAAATCTGATGCCATTGAGGATGAAATCTTGAGGGCCTTCCAAACGCAAAGAGGCAACACGCCCAACTCTCAGCTGAGCTGGGCGGCCTTAGCCACCACCCACCTAAAAGAAACCGGTTCTTTGACAAAGCGTCTGCTGGGGGTGTCAACGGCGGTGCTGGTAGGCTGCTGATCATGTCGCCAGCCTTCTGCAGCAGGCATCGCAACAGCCATTTCAAGACTTCATAGATGACAATGCCGATGGCAATCTCGAGCACCAACGGCCACCATGGCTCTGCCTGCCCGTCCATTGAGCTGGTCCCTGCTCGAGACCCAACTGCTGCGGGCAGCGACGCTGCGGTCATTGCCAACTCGAACGCGAATGTCGACGGGCCTTTCCGAAATTAGCCTTGGCTGACCGCAGCGCAGCCGACGAATCTATGCGAAAATAGACTAAAGCTTTAAGCCACCGCCGATGAGCCCCGTTAAGACAACACGGCATTGATCGGAAGCCCCTTTGTGAAATGAAACACTTGCAGAACAAATTGACAACTTTTCATGTCTTTCCTGTCCCGCAGCCTTGCCGGGATCATCCTACTGTCGCCTTCATCGCCTCGCGCTTGCACGCCCCAGCATTTCGGGGGCGTTGCGTTGCTGCCACACTACTGCTGGGTGACCCGGCGCAGGGGGATTCCTCAAAAATGTTTTCCATGGGGAAAAAGTGCTTCGCCATACTTAAATGGAAACAACAAATGAGTTTAAAGCAAGTAGGGTCCAATGATGCCCATGCCAGGTTGTTCAACCAAAGACGTTAAATTAAACACATACTAGCGCCTGCTGAACGGCAATTGTCAGCTCCAGAACGCCTCAAGCAACTTGCGAAATAAAGGCCAAGTCCCGTTGACTGACACTGACTCGTCCAAAAATAAGGCAGCGGGGCTCTGCGGCCCTGAGTCGCCCGACTGCAACCGGGCGACTCAGTGCCACTGAGCCCCAGTGACTGCAAGTGACCCATCTTCAGCTCCAAGCCAACTTGACTTCATTGATTGAAGTCAACACTGAGGTTGGGCGGCAAGTCATCGGAAGTCCTGAATCACCCGACCTGCATCGGGCGACTCAGGGCCACCGAGTTTAACTCCGTTGATAGTCTTATAGTTGAAGATCGGAAGCAAATGAATGACATGAGCAACACACATCGTCAGTTCAACAAACATGCCTGGAAGCAGCGTGTTTCACCAAGCCCTGAGTTGCACGGCAGTCCGTCGAACGACTCGCAAGCTGGCAGCCGCTCCGGTTTTGCAATTTTCTGCGCGCTGCTGTGGCACGGTCCATGTCACTGCCTTCCCAAAACGATGGCTTGATTTTTGCCTTCGTGCTCGCCTTTTAAGTGCTTCACCCTCAGAATGAGGACCTTGTCATCGCCCGCAACAGCAGCATTGACAATGAACATTTCCACCTTGTAAGTCTCCACCTCGTGGTAGCTGAATATTGCTGCCGCTGGCCAGAAGCAAAGGAAGATGCGCGCCCACTCGGCCAAGGCTGCGGACTCAGTGTTCGGCTCGATCGCCTCCATGTCAATGTCCTTGGTTGCACGAGAGCGGATCGCAGACCAACACCTTTATTTTAAACTGACGGCATCCTAAGTCTGAGACAAACAATTTAATGTCGCCAAGTTTCCTCTGGAAGCTCAAACTGGGTCTCCGCTGCGGCGCAGACTTCGCCTTTCCAAATGGTCGTCAACGGGTATCTGAGTCTCCCCGCCAGTGGAGACAACGACATTGCTTCGTGATTCTGAGTGGGGGCAATCTGTTACAAAGGTTAGATTCTCAACACTTCGAGCTTGAAAAGGAACCTATAATAATTTGCGTAAAACTATTTTCACAGGGCCGTATTGGCTTAGACGATGGTCGGTAGCGCCCTGGTCTTTGCTAAGAGCCCGCAAAGTCGCGCAAATGACACGGCGGATTCAAAGCGACAATGCTAATAGGCGCCGGAGGGGCAAGCAAGTCCACAAGCTCATTGGACAAATCCAAGCTAGACATCGCGCGTTTTCGGCCAAGCGACATGGTGCGGGTCATCCCTTGCCAGAGCAGCCGCCTACTGAATTTAGTATTTCAAATTACATCATTGGGCGGCGTGCGGCATCATCGCCACAGAGCGCCTTGTTCATGTCCGGGTGAAACCAAACCGTACACTGCATCTGGCAAATGGCCTTTCACCTTGGCGGAATCAGCCCAAATGTCATGTGGAAGCTTACTGATGAGCTGGGAGGCCAGCATCGCCCGAGGAAGCATCCGCTGCAAAATGCTCAGCGACATTCCGTCGCCAATGGTCGCGCCCATTTGTCTGGCAGGAAACGACTGCAGGACCTCATCCACCAGCACTTTTGGCCATCCCTGCAGCGCAGCCATTTCCCAGATGTTCATCCATCGATTCAGCGTCACTAGGAAATGTCCATTTGACGATGCCCTGGACTTTGTCAAGCATGGGCTGCACTCCAGCATGACACACCGAAACATTTCTGTGGCCCCACCGTCGCACACGATCTGCCTCTTCACATCCCAGCCCTTCGCTTCAGCAAATGCCTTGGCAGCTTTGATGTTCTTCAGGGCCAAGTCTGTGACATCCCGCTTCTGCTGCACGTTGTTGATGATGAAGCGGCTGAGCGAAGGGCAAGTGATAGGATCAGGAAAGACACGCCGCATCTCCTCTTTCACTGCCCATGCCTTTGAGACGGCCACGAGGTACAGCCTTGGCCTGCTGTGCGGGATTCCCCCATGGACCTTCGTGTCGAGGACCTGGGCCCGTACGGAGTAATTGCAGAGGCGCAGAATCTTCACCACCGCATCCAGCACCGCTTTGCATTTCGGGCCGCTAAGCCCCCGCACATTTTCAAACACTGCGAGCCGTGGCCTCTTTTCCACGACGTAATCGAGGCTGTGTATCAAAACGCAGCCCCGAACATCTCCTAGCGACTGCTGGCGACCAGCGCTTGAAAATGCTGGGCAAGGAGCTCCGCTGACGTAAAGGTCACAGGCCGGAGCGCTGGAGTTGTCCCGCGAGGTGATGTCATCGTACACCTTTTCCTGCATTTCGAACTTGCTATTGGATTTAAGAAAGCAGAAAACACAAAAACTTTCGTCTAAATCTAAATGAGATGAGGAACTGGCGTATCTCCAAAATGCGCGTGCATCTGCAAGGCCATTTTCCTCCTGGCGGGGTCGATGTCCTTGGCTCAAGGTTCCAGCCCAGCAACAATTTTGACAAAACGGAGTGCCGCAATGCAAGCAGGCGGCCGAAATGAAAGCAGTGCTCACCCGAATTGACTGGCCGAAGGCCAGCTTCAAGCTGACAAAGTCGGAGGACAAACCCGAGCAGTCAGACCCAAGTCGGACCACAGACGGAGCCGCAGCCCTTTCTCCAGGTCCAGTTTCGCGGCCAAGGCGACTGTTTGCGGCTTTCTTCTCAAGCTGCTCAATCAGGGCTTCAGCAAACTTCCTTAGCTCGCAAAAACGCAGCTCGTTCAGTCAAGCCTTGACAGGCATCACTGCTGACAGACTCTGATTGAAAGCAAGGATCCTTTGGTCACTGTTCGTAAGGTCGCCGGCTGGCCGCTTCTTCGAAGTCTTGGCAGCTGCTTGCGTAGGCGTTGCTTCCTTGGTTTTCGTCTTGGTCTTAGCCGTCTTCAAGACCTTCTTGGCGTCGCCTTTGTGCCCGCATGCCTTCTGGTCTTTGTGTCTCTTTCTGCCGTTCTTCTCTTTCGCGGGCTCTGAAGCCATGGCAAAATCGAGGTCCATCTTGCCTACTATTGATTGACATGCCGCTTCTCTTGAGCATGTACTGATCTGCAACAATTTTCAGAACAAGCCGCCCGGCAAGAAAGACAAAACATGAGCAATGACAATGACGAGGCACTCGCAGGGGGGATTAAATGTCCTCGTCACCACTCAGTTGCGGAAACCTAAGCCTAGGCGCTGCAGTCACATTATTTTACACCGCTCTGAAGTTTGTGTCGCTCGTCATTGTGATTCAGATTGAAGGTCAATCCAGTCACTCAAAGCCCTAATAAGGTGTCCTTTCGCCCAGTCTTCAGCTCAGCAGCTTCCAATTTACATTGATGCCTCTGCTTAACTTGAGCAAAGCCAGCAGTAAGTTTCAATAGTTCAAAACACCGACGCCGTCCCCTAGCCGGGCCTCGCAGGGACACAAGACCCTAGTAAGGCCCGGCGCAAGGACGGTGTTTCACCCACGACGTTGCGCCGCCGAAGAAAACATATTTGATAGTTGATCCGCCGCGGAAGTCTGGGCCTAAGCGTCTTGAACAAAAAGCAGCCAGGATTGCTGCGGCCTAGCCTAGTATGCTCACTGACTGGCCGAGTCTGATTCAGAATCGTCAATCAGCTGGGAGGCCGGCGGCGCGTTGCCAGTCGGTTTTTCCTTCTTCTGCTTCTTCTCCGCCTTCCCCGTCTTCTTATTCGTCGTCTTTGGCTTCTTAGGCTCCGGCTCAGGCGCCGGATCTCCGGGGGCGGGCGTCGGCCGCTTTGGCGTCTTCTTGCCCTTTTCGGCTTCCGCATCCTTCTTGCCAGCTGCCGCCCACTCAGGCGCGTAGAACGTAGACCCTTCTGTCTGCATCTGTTGCTTGACAAACTTGACCAGCTCACTCTGGAGAAGCGAAGCGTGAGTCTCTGTCATGGTCAGGGCCATGTAAGGAATCCTCCGCAGCAAGGCCGCCTTGGCCAGATCTCCTGCGCCTGGCGTGCAATCCAGCACGCCTGTGATCTCGTACGCGGCCAGGGCGTCTGAGTACAGCGTCACCGGCAAGTGGTTGAAGAAGGCAGGCTCATAAGAGTCACCGTCTCGCTGCTGTTCTTCATTCTCCTTTGCGTCCTCGGCAGAATCTGCGCCCATCATCTTGTCTCCGTACATCTCTTTCCTGACAAATCGGGCGACGCATATGATTGAGGCCCCCAAACATGCTACTATTTAAAGGCACGATTAAATTTGAGTCGGGCTGCTTATTGGTCACAGTTAAAGTCCACTCATCCGAAGCGCTGCCCAAACCAATCCAGCCGATGCAATTCCCTCGGTTGGAGCCGGGGAATTTGGTGTGTTTGCGTTCTGGCAGCCAAGTGGACATGGGCTCGGTGCTGATCACGTGCCAGCGCTGAATCTGGTTGATCATGCCGCGGTTCAGTTTCTTCTTTCCTTCCATTGACTCCTCGACAGGATTGAAAGACAAGTAAAACCGATGAAAGCGAAGACCAAAGCTTTCAAATTTGACGAATTTATAAGTACACAATCGAATTTTGAAACGGACATCGTCGTCCTGGCTGAGGCACAGCGTGATCTCCGTGTGCTCCAGGTAGTGCGCCAAGGCCCCCTTGCCATCCTTCGACTTGAACGGCGCCAAGAGGCTCTCCAGCACGTTCCGCCCAGCATCGTTCAAGAAAATGAAGTCTCCGTCAATTGGACGGTCGAAGTGATCCTCTGCCACCTTCTTGTTCGCCAGGCCGCCGCGGCCCTTGATGCTGCCGTGGATCAACTTTTTCATGAGGGCTGGGCTCAGTGGCGGAAACCTTCGGTCAGGCCTTTTGGCGGCCTCTGCAAACAGGTTGGCGTCAAAGTGGATCATGACACCGCTCTTGCCCTGCACGCCGCGGAGGTCGCCATTCAGGCCGCTATCCCCTACGGCCCGGGCAACGGCAGACTGGGTTGGAGGCTCGGCCCGCAACGACACATAGATCGCAACCTGTTGCGCTGCCGTCGCTGTCCAATGCCTTCGTTGACTGCTCATGCATTGCCGCAACAATGGCGCACGCTCGCACGAGCAAAGCAACGTCAAATTCAATTCTCTCCAAGGCACTCAGCCGAGCCCTTGGGGTACTTTGAAGGCTGCGGAGCCACGCTGCCCTGCGCGATCTTCGTGCACTCGTCCTGCTCGTCCTGCTCCTCCTCGGCCGCCTTGTAGAGCGCTTTCTCTGCAGCTAGTTCATTGTCTTTTGCTGCCACGCAAGCCTTCCATCGTAGACTGAACGTCTCGATCTCGAGCAGCTCAAGCGGGTTGGCTCCCTTTCCTTTCTTCAGAAGAGCAATCAAGGGGCCGTTGAGCGTCGTCGTGTACAGGATGTCCTTCGCGCCAAGGGGGCCATTGCCAATAATGCTTTTAAGATTGCATTGCCCCCCCCACCTCGATCAACCTCAGCACAAGCATGCTGGAGCGCTTCAACGAAGACATCCATTGAACTTCAGATGGACCTTCAAGGTTAGCAGCGGTCACGTATTTCCGGTAGCTGCAAATCGTCATGATCTTCGAGTGGATCTTGGCAAGGTCCTGAGTGTCGAACTGGCTGCGTGGCATCTCCACCTGAGTCCATCAATGCAATGCCTAACACCACGCATTTTTTCAGAAGCCTAGCAGCCATTGAACACAATAAACTTGAACCACAGATCCATGTTGATAAGTTAGTTTACTTGCCAAGACTGAAGAGGGCCGTGTTCAACAAGTGTTTGTTGATGGACAACTCGCTCTCAGGCCACTTTTCTCTTGCCTGCAAAAAGTGATGCGCCACAGTTCGCTTCAGCTTCAACAGCTCGACCAGCGATGCGGCTGTGGGCGTCCCAGCGAGGTAGGTCTTGGTGATGGTCTCGCGCTCAAGCGCTCCTCCCTCCACCATGTCGCAAATCACTTTCAGAATCCATTGCCTCAATAGATGGTCGCAAAGCAAAAATAAAAGCAATTGCGCAGATTCAGAAAGTCCGATGGCAGCGCTGTTCCCCGGCCTGGTCTCCATGTTCTCGCTTTTTTCAATCAGCACCCGAAGTTTCTGAAGGGAGTTCAATGGCGACTCCAAGCCATACTTGCTCTCCAACTTGTCCAGCACCTCGTTGCAGGTTGTGTCCACGAGCAACTTCTCATAGACGAACAGGCAGTCCTTCACGAATCCATCCGCCATGTCGCCTTTCACGGAGGATTTCGCCATGAGGGCCTTGGACCGGAAGATGTCTTGCACCTCCTTAACTCCAAGTCTCTCGCCAGCCTCGGACTCCTTCTTGTTTTTGAAGGCAGTCACCTCAAAAGCGAGTTGTCGAGCGCTTCTCTTGAGGGAGTCGTAAGTCTGCACCACTTGCTGCCTCCGGTGGAAGCTGTGCCAGTACAAGCTGTCTCCCCCGCCCACCACTGTGAACACTGCCGGCGCCGACAAAAAGACCCGGCGCCAGGCAGCAAGCTTCTCATCAGGCGCCTTAGCAGCTTCAACATCAGTCACTGAATGCGTCCGAAGACTACAAACAAAATTACCCTCTAAGTAGCTATTAAATCCCTGTCAGTCAGTAAACGTGTCTGAAAACCGCGAAACTCTCGTCGCTAGCTAATTTCCGAACACCTGCCTGGTCTTTGATGACATCCGCTAAGGTGAACAGCAAGGCGTGCTGCATTTCCTCCGGGCTCACAGCCTTCCACTTCCCCTTGCTATCCAGCATGTCCTGGTCCGGGCTGTCGACCGCGACTGTGAAGTTCTCGGTCAAGTGCTTTGCATCCCCGGCGGGACAAGCAAATTGCCCGAGTTCCCGGACCCTCTCCACACTGAGCGGTACTGTGGGCGTTGTGGACCCAAATGGGTCAATCCACATCAAGTTGATCGCGGCCCTGTAGCATCCTTCCTTCGTCAATGCTGCCTTGCACTCCCGTGGGTCGAAGACTGCCTGGCAGATTGACCAGTGTAATTCAAGCTGAAAAACAACTATTCGCTCTACCAGAAATGTCTCGTTGTTTTAGACAAGTGGTACGTTTGCAGCAATTCAGCGTTTTGGCACGAAGTGGTGTCAAACTGGTGTAATCAGCACAATGGGAGCAACACGGTCAAACTCTGTCAAACTGACCATTGCAGCATGCAAAGGATGTTCCGCGTAGTGGATTGCAAGGACAGGAGTCAAACATAACAAGTCTCCACCCAAGACGACAATTTGAAGGATGGCGATCTTTTTGAAACTGCTGAGTTACCAGTTAAACATCCGAAAACTAGTCCTTCAATTTAATTGTCGTCATGTATGCTGTTTGTTTCGCGGTAAAATTGGTAAGTAGAAAGGCCGGAGCACAGATACGGAGTAGTACTAGTGTCGAATGAAGATGCAGGCTAGGTTTAATCCGCCAATGCACTAAAACCTTCCCGCCTGAACTCCTGACTGGTCTTCTCCCGGCTTGGTGTTGATCGGCAGCGGCGCAGCGGTCGTCTGAAGGTCAACGAAGGTGGGGCACTGAAGGATCACGTTGACGGCGTCGATGAGCGCTTCGTAGTACTGGGTGTTGTTCTGAGGCGCCGTTTCCGGAGCATCGATAGCCGCCGCCGCCGACTGTGGCTGGTTCTTCTTGACCTGGCTCTTCACCATCTTTGCTTCCTTCAGAGCCTGACGAAAGGCAAGACAGACTGCATTTTCTGATGGATTTGCACGTGAAAACGACAGGGCTTCAAAAAACATCATGGTTTGGCGTTGACAGCTCCTTCGACTTGGTCGCCGCGGCTTCTGAAGCTGCCTTCTGAGCGTCCTCGTCTGAATCGCCAGCAGTCTTGCGCTCCGCGTAGACCCTTTTCTCCTCTTCCTCGACTGACTTCTGCTCAGCCTTGTTCAGCTTCCATTTGCTGAAATGCTCCGGCATTGTGCCAGAGGCCGACAGCCGACTGAGCCCAACCTGCGGGAATATGAACCTGTTTTTGCCACGCTGCTGCAAACCTTTGAGCTAATGCTTGGCCTCAATGACTGCTCAGCCGCCTGACAATGTCAATCAAATTTCTTAGATTGGCGCCTAGCTTCAAACATTGACGACTGACAGACTAGTGACTAGCCAACTTCAGCTCACAGCCGCCCAAGCATAATTTGTTCACTGGCAGGTCAGTCGCTCAGCGGCCCGGCGGCGGTCAGAAGAAGACCTCAGGTGCTGCCTTCAAAGGCAGGCTCGTCCTCAGGCTGGTCAGGCCAGGTCCACTGCAGGTCGTCGCCGCCTTGGCTGCCAAAAAGTAAAACACATCTTGCCACTGGGAGCGTTCCCTGGCGAGGGGTACCCCCCCCCGTCGGGGGGGGGCTCTCGCCAACCGAACCTAGGTTCGTCTGGCGAGGGCCACCCCCCCCCGTTACAAGCGTGTGGCGAGAGCTACCCCCCTGCGTCACTGTACGTAACGGAGGGGGTAGCCCTCGCCAGACGAACCTAGGTTCGGTTGGCGAGAGCCCCCCCCCGACGGGGGGGGTACCCCTCGCCACCAAACACACCCGTAAACGAACCTAGGTTCACTGGGCGAGAGCCCGACGTATAGCGGTTGCGGTGCCGACGTTTAGCGGTTGCGGTGCCCCGACGTATAAGAGTTGCGGGGCTTTCGGGGGAGGGGGGGGGAAAAGGAATTAAAAATAAACGACCCTGGGTGCCCCGACAGTCAGTCAAAAAATGAAAACCCTTAACAAAGCAATCATGCAGCCAAAAATCGGCCAAGCTGTTCGCATCCATGGTCCTCGGCCGCCTTTGCCGTGCACTTCCTGCTGATCGGGGCGGCTGAGCAGGCTGGGTGCAGTACACTGGGCCAGATAGCTCAACCAGGCGGTGTCCACTAAGGGCATCGGCGGGTCGTCGGCCTTCTTAGAGCCAGCGCTCTCGTCATCCTCCACAACCACGACCTCATTGTCACTCATCTCGTCGTCGCCGCCCACCACCGCCGCTGACTCCGGGCCAGTGCGCTGCTTCTTCCGCTTACCTAAGTTTAAGCAGCCATCAGATTACAGACTACTAAGACTAATACTTTAAGTCAACGTGCCAATGACAGCAAATTGACAAGATATGGAAACGTCAATGTCCATTGCCATCATGATGCGCCTCGCGGCTCTCGCCCGGTTTGCCATCGCTCTCGCATCTGCTGATGGCGTATCGCCCGACTTTCCTCAGTTCACGCCAAGCAATTTAATAGCTTACTTAATTAGAAGCTTGAAAACTAGAAAGATGAAAGCCAAGCCAAGGCACGAATCTTCCTCACCTTAGTTAGTCAGTCTGGTGCCTACATGCCGAAGGCAACCAACTCGCACTTGGCAAGCTATTAAATTTAGGCAGAAAGCGTAGGCCTCCAGCATTCGGGCCCTGGCGGTTGCCCATCGTGTCCTCGTAGTCGCGGAGTTCCTGGATGAGCTCCGCCAGGAACTTCACGGAGTCCTGGCCGCCCTTGATCCAGCTCCACTTGTCGACGCACTTCTTGAAGATGCCAGCCAGCAGGCCGTCGTATGCCCTCCACTGGACGGCCTTCTTGGGCGGGATGGGCCGGATCGCCCTGCGATCCTGAAAGTAAAGCAGTGACATGCAGTGACTTGAGCAATTAAATGGAATCACATCCGCGCAGGCATCAATGCTATCAAAATCAATTCTAATACCTAAGTCAGTCAATGCAAGCCAGGAAGCTGCAAGCGGCCCCATCGGCATCATTGGACGCTTCTCAACGGCCTCAAACAGCGTCGCCCCCCCTAGCCCGTAGAGGTCCGTCCATGGAGTCAGTGTGAAGGATAAGACCTCGTCGGCGGGCATGTAACACATGGTTCCGCGGAAGGGCGCCTGAGCCAGCGTCTTGAATTTGAAAGCTCGGGCAATTCAGGGCTTGCCAGGTAAGAGGGGAGCGCAGCTGCCGACCGGCCCTCGGTAAGCCCTGAGTCACCCGATGACAATTCGGGCAACTCAGGGCTTGCCAGGACCAGCCGCAGGATCAGCCCTCAGCCTGGCAGCCCTGAGTCGCCCGACGACAATTCGGGCAACTCAGGGCTTGCCACGACTGACAGGAAACGCCTCAGCCTGCTATGCCTGGCAAAGCCCTGAATTGAAACAACAACATTAAATGTTTCTGCTAAGCTAACGTGCATCCAAGTGTCTGTGTCCCCCAACTTGTACACCAGGCCGAAGTCTGCGATCTTCGCGGTCTGGGTCTCCGTCAGGAGGATGTTGGCCGGCTTTATGTCGCAATGCATAAGCTTGGCTCCTTAGTAGCACTGGATTCGCCGATATCACAAACACAGAAAACTGTTTGAATCATGTCATTGTTCGGTGACAGCTTAGATGCGGAAAACAGTTCAAACAACAGTTGTCGTTGATCAGTAATCAGCTTGAACCACACGCGCCCCAGCAAGTCTTAGACTAATAGACTAAGACTACTAAGGCTCGGTGCATGTGGTAGAGCCCGCTCATGCATTCGCGCATCCACTTCCTCAGTGTCAGAGACTTGTTAGCCAGTGTTCACCCGGAAAGCAATGACTAAGCGCGAATCATGAGGATCTCGCTGGAGATCGGCCGCCCCTGGGGGTCGTGGATCCGACAGTGTAGGTCGCCCCCCGCGAGGAACTCCAGCTCCAGCATGACCAAGGTCGGGGTCATAATCAACTGCCAGATCTGAACCAGGTTCGGGTGCCTTAGCTGCCTCATCTGGTTGCCCTCCTCCAGGAGTGCCTGGCCCTCCTCGCTGGATTCGAAGTCCCCGCGCGAGAACTTCAAGACGCGGAGGCCCCCGTCGGCGTGGCGGCACTTGTAGACCACTCCCATGCCACCTTCGCCCAGCTTGGACACCTCGGTGTAGCCCTTTTTGGCCAGAGTGGCCTGGATCAGATCCTCGCCCTTGTCATTGTCCGTCGTCGCCATGCCGCCCGCGCAGGTTGCGTTCTGAAAAAATTGGCAAGCGGATATGAAATAATCATAATGGTAATCAAGTGTTAACCAAAGCAACATCATTAAGTGTTGGAATAAACCTTGGAAATGACATGAGCTCGCGCTTGACCCTAAAATTCCAAGACTCAAATTCACACGGAGTGCGTTCACGAATTGCCAGCAAGACAGCACTGCGCGTGCAAAGTGCGTTTTCCAGCTCCTGTGCCCTGGATTGCCTAAGTCTAGCTAAGGGCTAGATCTAGCTAGCATCCGTCTGCTCACTCGCGCTTGCCTTTGTCAGTTGGGAGGACGCCCCGATGGCGCTCGTCACTCAAGTTTTGCTGAGGGCAAGGCTTCTTCTGCCTTTTTGCAATGGTGACCTTACAGTAGCAATGCAACAGCTCGTCACCCTACCTGACGTTCAAAGTGAGGCCGCAGCAGCCTTCTGCAATGCATCGCGCGCAAGTCCGGTGCTGCGTGACCTGGCGCAACATCATTCATACTAGATTCCGTGACTAGGATTGAGCAAGCCTCATTGTCATCCTTCAGCGCCCTTTGCACGTCAGCAGGCACCTCAGGCGCAATGGCCAAGCTAGTCCGAACCTGACATGGCAGTGAAAAAGGCTAACGCGTAACACGTAACTGAGAGTCCGGCTTCGCTGACCGTGATTTCTTCGCCGAGCAGTTCGTCGATGCGTGTCAACACCGCGAGTTCCTGCAGCGAGACTCGGGACAAAGGCTAAACCAGTTGCCGGCCCTTGCTTGGGCAAAACCCAACAATGTAACGCCTCTTGGTCGGTCAGCTTCCGCTCAATGAAGCGCTCAACATGAAAGATGGCGAAGCCTTGGTCTATAGTAGTGTGAAAACTACTTCGCATCCCTCGCACAAGCTTACTAAGGAACTGGCTGAAAGTCACAGCGTGACGGGTTGCCGCCAGCGTGCGGATTGTCTCCGCGACCCTTCGGCACGCAAGGTCGAGCTCCATCACGAGCCTTGCCATTGACCATTCACAATCATTGATGAGCCGGGACCCGCCACATTAGTAAGAGCCAAGAAAGCTTCGCGAGCGCTGTCAATCAATGTCAAGTCAATTCAAAACACTTGTTTAGTTTTGTTTGCGGCGAGATTGAAACTCAGCATTGCAGAAAGGATGCCCAGGGTTGTTTCAACTCGATCAGCACTAGTCTCTGCCATGCGCTTAGGCAGCCCCTACGTAGATGGCAACTCCCCCTTGCCAGCGAACACGCTACTATGGCGTGTAAAAACCCGAAGCGCGCAAGTCAAGCCTGGAAATGTTTTCCAGAAAACTCGCCTTGCTGAGATAACCCTGCGAATTTCCACTGAGAACAGCAGCTCGTCCAACTTCAGCCGAGGTTGCCAAGATCATGGTTGCGTCTGCCCGAACGGCTGCGAGCTTCCATTTACTTCCGGGACGGTTCACAATGTCCTTGATCGGCTTAATGAATTGGGCGTGGCTCTCACGGAACTTTGTGGAAAAGAAGACCTTCTGACGCCGCGTCTGCGAGGCAGGCTGAAACTTCAGAAGGATCCCTTTCTTGCCTTCCAGGAGGCAGACATCCATGATCTGCCGACCAAGCAAGGCAGCCATCAATTTCACCCTCTCCGGCAAATTGCCAGCGTCGTTGACAATGAAAATGTCTGCCTCCAATCGCTCCGTGGTTTTGACCAAATTTCGGGCGCTCATTGCCACTTGCAAGTCTGCAACAGAGATGGCGGGGTCCAGCCAAGCCTTGCTGCCTTGAATCTTTTCCCAATCCATGGAGCCGTTAAGCCGCATCTGCAAAGCGTCCTTGGAGAGCCTGTCTCTGATATGCCCCTTGTCCGCGTCGCGCTCAGCTTTGGCTGCTGTCTCCATAGTTTCTTGGTCCACTGCATTTTGATCAATGAGGCCGTCCAGGACGCCGTCCACCTTGTAATGTGTTTGCTTTGACTTTTGGAACTGGTACTCAACCTCGTAACTCTCAGTCCAGTACTCAGACACTTTGTCATTTGTGGCCGGGTGCTCGTCCATGTCGAAGGCCAGGTCGGCCATGTTCAAAGAGGATGTTGCGTTTGCAACACTGTCCCGCCTGGATCTGATAAACGCTGCTTCTGTCCCCTCCTGCTTGGCGCGCTTCACATTCTTGTCAATCCGCTCCTGCGTCCGCTTGCGGCTTGCGCCTCGGACAAGTGAGATGATAATGACGTTGGCCAGGCGAACAAGTCAAGGTTCTTAAACACACACGAAAACCAGCAAAAACAAACGGTGTTAAAACATATTAAAGTGGCAAGTGGAATCACGCCAGGGCGCCGGAGCGGCAAGTTGCATAGAGTTCCGCCGCGTTCGTGACAATGACCTTGAAATCCGGGGGGCTTAGTGGCGCCAACAATATCTTCATGGCCCTTGCATCGTACGACGCGGATGCTTGGGAATGGCCAGTGGCGTTGTTCCGCTCGCCCTTTGCAAAGTTCTGCTCCACGCCGCTGGACGATGCTTGCCAAGCCAGATACCGGCGCACGACGATGGCCAGGTCATCTGCTGGATAGGACTCCTGGGCGGGGACCCGCCTGTCGAAAAAGTGGACTGTAATTTTATCCCACAACTAAAAGTCCTTCAATGACTGCCGCCGCTGCGTCGCTGCCATTGTGTGCATCCACGCATCCTTGCACGTCGTGTTGGTCTCCCTGTAGCGCTTCTCAGCCAAGGGCCTCAAACGCTGCAGCTGCTCCTGGAAGCCGCCAGGGCTGACATTGAAGAACTTGGCCAACCTGTTGCAGCTGTCATCCCCGGCGCTCTGGAAAGCGGTTTGCTGCTTGGTCACAGACTTCAAGGAAAACACCTTGGAAAAGCTCTCAGAGGAAGGCTTCCTAATTTAAGGTCGATAAACAGGCTAACATCGAAACAAGTAAGATTATCATCGTTTAGTTCTGTTCAAGCCCAGGGGCCCCGAAGGCGCTGAAGACGGAGTAGTGCGGAAACTCAGTTTGAAGAACTTCCAAGGCTAAGCGGGACCAAGCGACCATGCGATCCAGGCATCTTTCCACCGTGTCCCCGTCGCAAGGCTGCAGCCGCCGAGCCTGCCCACAAGAGAAAAACGCAAGTTCGCCTTTGGACAGCATGTCCATGGCAAGCTTGGTGTATCCAACTGTTGTCAGCGCCTGCCGCTGAGCAAAAAGGGCTTGAATGCGGTCCGCGAAGCCCTGCACGTAGTTCCCAAGCTCTGAGCTGTCCACCGCTTCGTCGTCCACTTGGCGAATCAGAAGCAGCGATTCGTCTGAAGCGTCTGCTACCATTGCCAGGGCAAGGACCGCTTCGCTGCTGAAATCATCCAGCCATTGTTTCACATGTTTGCCTACGGCGTCTTGCCGATGCTGGATGATCCGTTGCGCAACTGACATAATGGCAGGGAAGGTTGCTAATCAGTCGGCACAGCGGGGTCGTGTGCGACTCGAAGCGGTGTTTCGCCTCAGTCAGCCAAACAGGAAACCTGGCTGCTTCGACAAACGGTGTTAATAAAGTCTTGCTTTTTGAGACGACAAGTCGCTGATTTCAAGTTGCTGATGGTCCCGTGATGCTTCTCAACCTCCTCCTGAAACCATTGCCTGAAGACAAAGGACCTGTCGATCACTTGCACAATCGACTTCTTTCCCAAAACATGCTCCGCCATCAGGGTGCCCAAGTAACTGCTGCAATGGAAAGGTCGCTTCAGCACACGGCGGAAGGCGTGGGCGTGGTCACGCGCGACCAGCTTCAAACCTGGCAGCAAGATGTCAGCGTCGTCCGCCTCGATGCGAGGGTCTCGGCGCCCGCGGTTCACGTTGGATGCCCCAATCTCATTAGAAGCAGCGTCCGTCAAGATGATTTCGATGCGTTGCCGCAGCATGTCGTAGAGGTTCTCGTCGAATTCTGGCGGGGGTCCAGCGTAGGATCTGGGAGGCTCATGGAACTTCGTGCAGAAGTCACGCAGCACCTTTCGTGTCCCCTGAGCCTTGGCAAACTGAGCGGCAACAGGCAGCAATCCCGACAGGTTGTCAATGTTTATTATAAGGGAATGGCGGCAACGACACTGGGTCTGAAAAACATGCTGATAATAGAGTCAGGCGGCTATTTCTGCAATGGCTTCGCCACACCCGCGTGCCAGACCAAGAACCCCGTACCGGATCTGGAACTTGTCCTGGCAATCGTCAAGCAAAGCCAAGCAATTCAAAGTTCCCACAACACTGATCGAAACGGCAACTACTAAATTTAGTAGTCTCTGTTTCGATCATGTGTGATTGTAAGGTCGAGGGGCCGTGCTGTGGGAACTTTGACAGATGACCAATGACATGATGGAGACAAAGCAATCAACAAATGTTTGCTAACGTGTGGCCAAAGCGTCGTTGCAGCCTCCAAACCGGATTAGCAACCGCTGGCGCCTTCCATCTCTTGTCAAGCTGACGGTCTCGCAAGTCTTGAGGAAATCCCGGTCCGCTTGCGTGATTGCCTCGTGCAGGCACCACGTCATCAGCGAAGTCTTGTCAGAGCATTGCCCTTCAAAGCTTGAACAGCCTCAGCCGACTTAATTTTAATTAACCCGGACTCTCAGATGCAATGTTTTCATCGGTCAAAAGAGGAAAGCACATTGCGAGAAACATCAAATTAATGACATTGAGTCTCCTCGTTGCGAGCGTCCGCCCTGCAGATTCTTCAGCAAGGCCTCAAACTCTGACAGCGCCATCGCCTCGCCAGCGCCGCCGCCGTCGTCGATGCAGAGCATTTGCTTGACCGCGTTCACGTGGTTGTGCGATTCCTGGTGTTTGTGCAAGAACCAGGCGCGAAAGCCTTTGACAAGGCCTGCAGTTCCACGGGCCCAGTCGCTAGAGAGACCTGCTTTGCTGCATGGGAGGCAGCCGCAGCCGGTTGTAGTCCCCAGAACCCAGGGTTGCTTGGCCAGCTTTGCAGCTGCTGCGGAAGGAAAGGAAATGTCTTTTGGCAAGCAGCTACCCACCAGATACGTGCTCTCCCACGTCTTGCGCCTTCTCCGCCATAATGCCGCAAAGACTGCAGCGTTGCTGCCGCTGTCCTCCTCGTCCTGGATCAGCTTCATCTCATTGTTTTTCGCCGTTGGCTTCTCACTCTTAGCCGCCTTGACGATCTCCACGCTGAACTCGTCGGCCTTGGCGAATGCCAAGTCGCATTCCAGCTCCATCGCGAGACTTGTGGCAACTGACTGCGCCCTCTGGTGAACCTGCTACGCTGGGACTGTTGGCCAAATGGCTACGTGATTCAAAATTCCCCATGCCCCCGGTGAGTCATCGCTCGCAGCCATGGAGGGCACACACGCGGACACGCACTGTCTGTTGCGTCCAGTCAGGCTTGGCCAGGGAGTGACTAAATTTAGACTAATTTAATCCGACAGGCGATTACTGCTGGTTAAGTTCAAGGCTTGACAAGCTAAGCCCTGAGTCGCCCGGATGCAAATCGACGGGTGACTTAGGGCTGGCTTGACAAGCCCTGAATCGCCTAAATTCAATTCGACCGACTTAGCCAAGGCTTGGCAAGCCCTGAGTCGCCCGGATGTAAATTCGACGGGCGACTTAGGGCTGGCCAAGGCTTGGCAAGCCTTGAATCGCCCGGACTGGCCAATGCCAAGTCTTAGTCTTGACAAGCCCTGAGCCGCCCGGATGGAACTCGACGGGCGGCTTAGTGCTGGCCAAGTCTAAGTCGCGGCAATTGCCTTGAATCGTCCAGACGCAAATCGACAACGCCTTCAACGACTTGGACAACTTGCTGCAAAATTTGAAGCGCCCACCACAAAACACGCACAGTCACGAGGGGGTCAACGATTACCTTAGTTTCAAATTTTGGCAAAATTTGGCAGGGCAGGGCCTGAAACTGCCTGATAAAAGTGCATCAATTCTTTCCATTCCCTCTTTTTATTTGCTACATGAACTGCATGTCTAACTGCAAATGATTGACAAGTCCGCCGATGTTTTCCTTTCAAGGCGCTGTCGCGCAGGGTTGCCGATGGTCTCGCCGGGCAAGTTTCTCAGCTGACGATTCCGACATTAATACCAGTCTTTGACCGGTGGATTCCGTAGCGACTAAGCCTAAGCGGTCAGTTTTTGACCGGCGGATTCCGTAGCTAACTAAGCGGTCAATCAATTATTTGTCAATTTCTATTTTGTTCATTGGTAGATAGTAGATGCGTGGGGAGGGTGGACCAAGTATGGTTTCTTTTGGTGGGCCAGATGTTTGTTTGGTGTACTCCAGAAATTTGAAATGGGGTCAAGTTTCACTCCACATGTCATCCTCTTTAAATAAAATTCCCCCAGACTGTCTATTTAATAATGCATTGATTGACCGAAAAACACCGCCGCCAGCTCACCCAACACTCACCAATGCCAACCAGCGGCAGCAGCCCGGCGGCGAGTCGAAAAGCACCGCCGCCAGCTCAGCCAACACTCACCAACCAGCGGCAGCAGCCCGGCGGCGAGTCGCAAGGTCGACTGCCATCTCGCCGCAGAGGTCGGAGTAGGTCACCAACCAGCGGCAGCAGCCCGGCGGCGAGTCGCAAGGTCGACGCTCTTCACCACCTCGCAGAGGTCGGAGTAGGTCCAAATCTTCTGCAGGAGCTGCGACGTGGTGAAGGGCAGCGACCACACCAGGAACCGCAGGTTCATCACCATCAGGGCCACGAAGCGCGAAAACCCGGTCCAAGTGCCGACGATGTTCGTCACCCCGAAAATCGCCTCGATGTAGTCGCCGGCCGTCACCGCATTGGTCAACCACCGCCCGTGCGTGGGCCAAATGAGGCGCAGAGCCAGCGCCAAAGCGGCATTGCCTCAGTCAGGGGGCGACACAAAAAAACTACAATGGAAACAGCCCGAAGCAAGACGCACAACAAACAAGTCAAATGCAACGTATCACAAGCAATGGTGGCAAGGTGCCCGGGTCTTCTGCTTCTGCCCCAGGTCGGCACTGCAGCGTCCCATGGTGGCTCAACCACTTGATGGTGCTGCGCCCCAAATCGGTCCAGCGCTCCATCCAAGAGTCAAGCCAGCCTTGGCGCGGCGCCGCAAAAGACAGCAGCTTGCCCACCCGCGCCAAGTGCGTGTCAATCTCCTCGTCAGAAGCACACCCGCACTGCTTACAGCCCAAATTTCCATGAATGTAGGGGTCAGAAGACCTCCATTGCGCGGGCCGCCAGTTGCGCTTCTGCTGAACGACCGAGCAGCGGGGGCACAACATTGCGGGCGAAGCAAAACTGAGCGGCCAAAATTGCTGCGGCGGCCGAACTGCATCAAACTGCCAATCAAACGACGAGCGACCGAATCTGAACATGTAACCAACTCCTGTCTCGTTGTTTTTTTAAACATCGTTTAAACATCTAAACATCACCTGATTGTTGGAAAACTGTTGAAAGGTAGTAATAGTAAGTGTTCAAGATGCATCAGTATGAAGGTCATGCCAAATTCAATGAGCCTTAAACCGTATTTTGAGCTGCTCCTGCAATGACAACACAAAGCCAACGCGAAAAGTGGCAATATCCAGTATTTATACGTGAGTATGAAGAACATCCATGACAAGGAGGAACTCTGTCAATGTCATTGTCCTTGCGGTTTTGTTTTCACAACTGACCCGCCCGTCTGACAACCACAAACCGACAAAACTAAGCCAACCCCAAGAGCAACCAAAGCAACT